ACACACACACCCATAACATTATGTTCTACGTATACAATCATCAAGTCATTTTTAATGTGTTATCTCTTTGACAGTAAGTAATGCACATTTGGCATTACAGTTGCAGGCAGGGTTAAGGGGCTGCATCGCTTAATAAGTATTAAATAAGAAGACTGTTGAAGGCTATAATATAATAATAATACTATGATTTAAACTGTTGGAAGACAGTGAATGGTAACATCATAAAATTGGTAGTTGACAGTACAGGGCTACAGATAGGCTAAAGGAAATCCAGCAGAGGGAGTGGAAGCAATCATCCCCATACATTTTTTTTTTTAATTAACGAGAAAGGGAGTCGGGGGAGGGGGTGGGTTTTTTTTCAAGGGCGCTTGGAGGGTCTTTCGGTGTAGTTCGCTTCTTCGAGCTCTCCTTGTGCAACTATTGTTCGTATTTAATTGTTTCTGTTTCCTGGTGAAATGTGGCCAATCTCGTGTCGACTCACCCGTAAGAAGCAAGCCAATCATCACATCATTTACACTTACAGACAGAGAGCAGGTCCCAACAAGAACAACAATAAAAGATACCGGAAGCTGGGCAACGCCAAAGAACGGCAGGTTCTGCACCGGAAGGAATACAGCTTGTTCCCTCTGTGAGTAGAATGTGTTCCCCTTCCTTCCTTCCTTACTATAAAAGAACAACTACGGAGGGGGGGGGAGAACTAAAACTAAAAACAAAAACAAAAACGATTAGGACGAAACAGACGCACACTCGGGAAAAAAACCCGTTTTGTAATGGGCACAGCTCTTGATAACAAAACAGAGAAACAGGTTTTAAAACCCCCAGGATAAATAGACAAATAAATAACAAAACCAGTGGGAATCAAAAAACGACGAAGAGTCAAGAGAGCGGTAGGTTCCTCATTAGAGGGAATGCAACCTGTCCCTCCCGTCTGTCAGTAGAATTTGTCCCTCTTCCTTCAATAAAACAACTGAAACAACAGATAAAACCCCCAAAACTAAAACAAAACAACAACAACAAAAAACAACGAATAAAACGAAACAGATGCAGAAGCGAAAAAAAAATCGTTTTGTAATGGGAACAACTCACGATAACGAAACAATGAAACAGTTTGAAATACCAAAACCAGGATTAGTAGACAAAATAAAGAATCAGCAATAACGAAAATAGCGACAGTAGTGAAAATATCAGCATCAGGTGACAACTGAGATCCCAAAACCATCATTGGTCTTCTCTTTGCGGGGTTTTTTTGTTTGTTTTTTTTGGTTATATTTTTTTTTGTTACTTCTTTTTTAGTTTCTCCATCACCTGCTGCCCGTCTTCCTTCCTTCCTTCATTTTCCCGTTTTTCTCTTCTGTCATTTTTTTCCCACATATTTTGTTCCTTTATTCTCATATCCTTTTTCTTTTCATCAATCTTTTTCGCAGTTCATTCTTTCTTATTTCCTTTAATTCTGTTCTTTTTTCTCTTTCTTTCCTGTCACAACAACCCAGTCATGCCACTTACAGTTCGTTCATTCCAAGTCTCACTCTTTCTTTCTGAATTCTCAGCGGGCGGATGATGAGTGAGTTCGTCCAGCTAGTTCCCCAACATTCCAACGACACACTTGTGTAACTCTGTATTTGTTCAGGTTTACCCTTCACTCCATCCTCTTACTTCCTCTGTCGGCGCACCCAGAAGACCCCAGTTCGATTTCCGTGTGAGGGAAAATGTTTATCGAGCACTCTGTCTTTCTGGCGTTGGGCCCCTCTAAGCCCAAGTTGGCATTAACATGCAGTGTCGAATCTCTCCTCCTAAATGATTTAGGCTGTCAATGAGCCTAAAAACACCTTAATTTTTTTAAAATCTTATCATGATAATAACAATAGTAACATTAATAATAACAATAATT